ATGATCAGCAACAATCCTCAGGTATGCTATGGCATTTAAACAATGCTCAGTTGGTTCTAAGGGACCCACAGTGTGCCAAGAAAATATCCCCCACACTATTACACACCACCACAACCGTGATCTATTTATATAGGTCGGGATCCATCACTGCATCCAAATGTTACAGCGGAAATCAAGATTCATCAGACCGGGCAACGTTTATCCAACCTTTTATTGTCCAATTTTGGTGAACCAGAGTGAATTGTAGCTTCACTTTCCTGTTCTTAGCTGACAGGCGTGGCACCCTGTATAATTCTGAATTACATAATCTAAATAAATACTGATTACTGAAGCTTCGCCTTTACTCTATTCTTAAAATTGTCTAGTCTTAGCATCACCCCATACTTGACATTCATATATGTTTTAATGATGGTTAATGATAAACTAATCATTAGCAGCTTAACCATAGCATATGAATGGGGAGCCAAATCCAATATGACAACACATTTACAACCAAATACAGAGACTGCAGTTATGCTGGGAAAAAATCAAACTGAGAATTCAAACTAGGGAGCAAACACGAAAATTTTCTAAACATAACAGACTTGACTGTTTTAGCTACAATTAGCTACTTTAGCTTGTTAAAACCTAGTCTATGAAATAAAGCAGTTTTCTTAACATTCAATCTTCCACTAATTGGTCCTCTTGTGTTAAATGAAAATCAGGGCCAAAAATAGGAACACTGGTGTGTGTTTCTTTCCATTTTTAGCACTGTTAGCTGTTTCCTCTGTAGCTCCTCAGATCTCAGATCAGTGTATTTAAACAAGACACATTTCTGTACTTCGACCCTCTTTCTCTCCCTCGCTCTTCTGAGGCCAATGAGATGCATTGAACTCTACCCAACTACCTGTTAGAGAGCCAGCTGCTGCAGAGTGATTTAAAGCCATGAACTGATATTACTGTGTCTGCACAGAAAGCTAAACATGAGTAGCACATTAGCACAGAAACAGGACCTGTTGGGCATTATTTTGCATCTCTTGACTGCTAGAAATGAGCAACTGAAGAATGCTTCTGAAAGGAAACAGTTCTCGTCTATGATAATTCAATTATAATCTAAGTGAATAGCTGCTCACTGTACATCACATGCCTCTTGATCCATAGTAGATGAGATGCTGAGAAAATAGCTTGTAATCTACAGGCTTATGTCATGTTGTGTAAACTGCCTTCTGAGGCATTGATTTTGAAGTACCTTTAGGAAGAAACACTTTGAGTTTCTAATGAAATTAAAAAGTTAAACTCTGAAATGTGAGTGCAAAGACGCAGCCTGTAGGCAGTGTGAAATGATTTTCCTCAGCTCGGCTGGGTTTATGCAGATGAATGACTGTGAGTTAAAGTTTGACGCATTATGGCTCTGTATTTGTGCCAGCAGCCGATAGAGAGCGAAGCAGAAATAGACTGTTCTTGAGAGAATGAATCACTCAAACAATAGAGGATTTCGTCCCTGCTGTGTGCTCTTGTTTAAAAGAGTGATAAAGTATATGCAAACGTGTGAAATCTAATGAGAATTTTCAGGCAAATTTACAAAAAACTCACTTTTATGATCAATCAATACACTTTTTTTTAATGTATTGTGTCTACATAAACCAAAGTGATCAGTACTAGGGGCATCAGCCTAGACTGCAATCTGCAATTCTGCAATCATTCAGCCTCGTTACCTGTAGTGAGAGTGATTTCACTTATTTTTGTTTGATTTGTTCTCATGTAGAGGTTAGAGTGAAAGAATAATGGTATTTTTGTAGGTACTAAAAGTGTAGAGGAGTCTCAAAATGACCACACACCTCCCCCTCATGGAGAGAATCTGCAACCTGCTAAAAAAGAACTTGCGAATTTGTGAGTGAGTCACAGGGAGGGCTGTTTGACGATTCACTTTACTACCAAGTGCATAGTATGCTAGTGTGATACAGTTTGCATTGGATAACCACGGGTTATCTTTTAGCACTGGTATCACTGGCCGTTTTAAACATCTCAAAAGTATATATTGCTGCAAACATGTTTATAAGTCACTGCCTGACTTATTGATGGATTCTCCTGTAAATCTGTGTTAGTCC